TTGAAAAATTATCTGGAGCCCTGTTACACTCTCGCATAATCTGGGTGGACAGACTGAATGAAACCGATACACCAGACTTCATCAAGGAAAAGCTGTATTTAAAAAAAGAAATTTTTATCCATAAAGTGTGTTCAATATTGTACTCCCAACTTCTGAAAATGCCACTCAAAGAACGAAAATCTGGCTTACAAACCTACATTACAGATTCCTGTTTCTGGCATATACAGATATTGACAGCTAAAGTTTAATTCACAGACTGATTTTCCCTTCTCTCACAGAAAAACAGCATGTCTTCTGTCAAATGTAACATAGGTTATATTTGGCATTAAACTTTATCAGGAAGTACAGATTTTAGTACTTTTGTTGGGTTGAGTCCCACCTGGGAATCGAACCCACAACCTCACAGTCAGGCACCTAATCACCAGCACACAAAGTTACCCAACCCAACCCAAAGGCCTCAACCCAACAAAAGTACTAGAATCTGTACTTTACTAAGAAAGTGTAATCCCAAATATAACCTATGTTACTACATATTCTAACCTATAGGCATGTTAATCACGGGATCTTCCTGGATTACTAAAACAATATTCATAATAACCAGTCTATCTCTTTATTAACCAAATGTAGTTGTCTGACATATGATATAGAACCAGACATTTTAGTCACTGCATGTCAGACATCCAGCGTTACCTCACTGGAACTATACCTAGATGATTCAAGCAAACACTTTGTCTTTCCTTTCCTTCTTACCCGTGAAGGTCCGGTTAGAAGGTACCTTCAGCAACACATGCTTGTCGTAAGAGGCGACTAAAGGGATCGGGTGGTCAGGCTCGCTCACTTGGTTGACACGTCATCGGTTCCTAATTGCGCAGATCGATGCTCATGCTGTTGATCACTGGATTGTCTGGTCTAGACTCGATTATTTACAGACAGCCACCATATAGCTGGAATATTGCTGAGTGTGGCGTAAAACTAAACTCACTCACTCACCTTTTCTTCTTATTCAGTCATACTGTTTACATCAAAAGATTCATGTCAAAATTACATTCCAGTTTCATCAATAACCACTTAATCGTTGTTTATAACATAGTCCCATTACTAAAATGCAAATTCCTCTCACTAGGTCTGATCATTATCTGATGATGAAATTAGAAAACGTGAAACAGTCATTGGAAATACTTATGTGTTGCAGGTTCAGACCTGTCATTATCAGCTGTCAGTGTTCATTAGATCTGTGATAAACATACCTGTGTAATTTGCAGGTGGCACAATTATTGTTAAATATACACTGTCAGATAATTGGAGACACTCCAGGACTATGATTTAGTGATTCAGTTCTCAAACATTACCATTGTCAGATGCGAGTGACTGTCCACATACCTCGTGTTCATCAGACCAACACCGTTAATTATCATCTCCGAGCAGGATGAAATGTATGATTGTCAATGCAAACATATTTGGATGATGATGAGCGAGTGATTGAGTCAGTTTAGTTTTACACCGCTTTTAGCAATATTCCAGCAATATCACAACGGGAACACCAGAAATGGGCTTCACACATTGTACCCATGTGGGGAATTGAACCCAGGTCTTCATCATGACGAGCGAACGCTTTAACCACTGGGCTACCCCACCACCCCTGGATGATGATGATGAGGATGATGATAAACATGATGCTGTGTATTAATTTTTTTATGATAATCACCACAATCTGTTTATATGGGTTCAACAACAAGATCTCTACAAAAAAACATTTTCCCACTAAATAAGAGAGGACATGCAATCATTAACTAGTCACAATGGTATTCTATGTGATCAATATTGCCATCGCTTCTTGCTTCCTCTACAGCCATTATTTATAATCAAGATTAATTTCTTTATGTAAAACAACTTAACAACAGCCTGCTATAGCTGTAACTTTACCGACAACATCCACTCACATCAAAACCATTCCTCATAATTTGCTTTCTTGATAAATAATAAATCATGTGCCTAACAAAAATATCCTTGATCGTAATCCTTCCTTTCTAAAGGAACACATACCATATATTTTGCTTCTAAAACCCATAATCATTTCAAATATGCTTATTCGGCAAATTATTTAGATCCTTTTATTGTAACAAATCCTTTCTGCCCTCTGGTAGGGTCACCCTCCAGGTATTTGCTTCATTCAGCGAACATGATCGAGGTATTCAACAATGACTACAATAGCATAGGCTAATCCTAGATGTGGGTCACCCTTCTGGGTCTGTTGTGGACTGGAGGATGGGAAAGTGGGGGGGGGGATGAGACACATAGGGTGGGGGGATGGAGGAGGGTGTGTGGGGTTCCTCCTGTTGTTGATGAAGCAGTTGGAGAGAGCTGACATGTCTAGTCCCCTACAGTCTGTATCCCTGCCCCTGAACCATATCATGTTGCCTTCTACATAGTCCTTTCTCAGAGACAAAGTTACCCAAATGAAGCAAGTCTAGATTTTCCCTAGACCCTCAATCTCTTATCTCACTTGGCTCCTTTTCAACTTAAACTGAGTTTTTTTCTTTCTGTTAAAATAGGTATTTTCAGAGGCTAAGCATGATAATAGTTTATCATCTCTGGCGTTAGTCAAAGTAGACTGTTGCTCGAGGAGATTACTAGTATCTAAATTATTGCCTTATACCAGAGACCATATAATAGATTATTATATGGTCTCTGCTTATACTATACAGGGTTCTGTACAGGATTTTCTTCTGCTCTACTTTATTCTCAGATGCTCCAAAAGATTCCCTGAATGAAATATTGATTAGGGTTTTCTGCTGTTTTTAGCAATATTCCACCATGGCAGGGGACAACAGAATAGGGCATGTTGCCCATGTGTATAAGAGAATCAAAACTGGCACATCACTGTGGAAGACAAGAACCTTTACAACTAGGCTCTGTGGGATATTCTGATGCTCTACAGGATTCCCTAAATGATTTTCTGATGCTCTACATGGAATTATCTGATGCTCTATAGGATTCCATGATGCTCTGCTAGATTCTCTGATGTACAACAGGAATCTGTGATATCTTAGTCAGGGTTCTGTACTTCACTACAAGGCTGTATGACTCTCGCATAACTTTAATAATTCTGTTATATGGGGTTCTCTACAGTTATCTACATGTTTCTTTATGATGCTTATATCAGCACTTTCACTTTGAAAGGTAAGAGACTGACACATTAAATTTACAAGTCATTTGTCCAGTAGACAATAACATTTATTATACCTAGAATTATCATGTTGCAAGGATAGATGTCAGTCCTACAAACAGTTGTTCTGTAACTGGAACTAGTGAAAGGTCTTCCTGAATTTATTCACTGTTATAAATCTATAAATAAAAATACTGCTTGTAATATTTGACTATGATCATAGATCATCTAACTGTGCAATGCTTCTAATGTACAGGGGTTAAAAACTACATGTCATGAGAGCTGGCATATGAATCATGACAACCAAGAACTTACTTTTTGAAGAAAGGATTTCAACAAGATTATACAGCAGCTTTAAACTTAGACAAACTGCCTGCGGCTATAGGCCCAGATTTGACAGTGAATTATTTAATGGACCATAATGCTGTTGTTAGGTTCTACGTTGAGGAGTTCAACGGTAAATGTCTCATTCAAAATTAAGGAAGAGTTACAATTCCTTTGTAAGAGAAATTGCGAGTTTCATCAGTACATAAAACCCAATTACCTAGCTAAGCAACACACACAAGATGTTACATTACAAGAAAACCTAAGAATTAATGAGTGAGTGAGTATAGTTTTATGCCATTTTTAGCAATATTCCAGAAATATCATTTCAGGGATCCTAAGAATTAAAGAGACAGTCTGCATTCTGCACAACTCGTAAGGAAATATCCCTTTTACCCTAAATAACAGTACATCACATCCTTCAACAAACTATCACATCCTTAACTCGAAACAGCAAAACTGAATCCTATGCCAAAATGACACTACTTTCCACCCTGAAATAACACCATATATATCCCTACTCCAAACTAACAAAATCCGACATCCCAATCCAACAGATGTTCCCATATAACCCTACACAGCTTCCTTGTAAATAAATTCTCTCCTGGTTTCAAAAACATTCCCAATGCCATTTCTTCTTCTAAAAAAGGAATACACCTTTCATGCCAATATACACAAATGTGATTTTTTAGCATAAAGATGTTTGTGTCCATAGCCCTTCTGTTTTATCAGTGCAGTTCACAACAATGGCAACATTCTCAGTGATATATGGGTCACAGACATGCTGCTCCCCAATCATAACCCTCCCACACTCAGCCCCTTTGTGAATTTACAACATCAATTTATCTATTGGAGGATCTTGCTTTAATGTCCTGGACAGCAAACTCATTTGTTGCTAGATCTTGTATTTTGTCTCAAATCGTGACATCCCAACTAAATATATATTGCATTCATGTTTTCTTGTAGCACTAGACTGTAAATTTGTCTAAGGTCAGACCTGCTCTATTTACAAACTCTCTCCTCCCTTCCCACCTATTCAGGTAAGAAGGCCCACTCCCCTTATCTCAGCTGGAGCCGAACTTTAGTATCATCTTCCCATGTCTTCTTATTCATAACCCTGTCTATCTTGGGCAAATGTCGAAAAGAGTTTTGTATGAGCTGTAAGCTACAATATTTTGATAAAACCTAATAGATTCTAGTCTCTTATTAAAACCAAGCCACTATCCCTTGTACAAGAGCTCGTGCTGAGATCCCTAATCTGTAGGTAAACAGGGAACCTGTCACTTTTAGCACACACTCTATCTTTAAAACCTTTTACCTAAAATATATAGTTAAAATATATGCAAGCTAATTCAGCACAGTCGGGACAAGATAGCGGGCGTTTCTGTGTCACGATTACTGCGAGCAGAAGACACCGGAGGATAGCAGACGACTCGTGCGTGTCCATCGAGCAGACGAGAAAACACCTGTCGTCTGCCACAAAATTTTCACTGAAATCTCTTCAGCTTACCTTGTGTCGACTCACCCATCCTGTCATCCACTGAAAAAATAAATCCAAAACGAAATCTGTACACGGGTATATCCTATGCGCCTCCACTAACGTTAGACCTGTCATATATCCCTGGACTGTTCATCAGTGTATGACATCCCTCGGGAAGCATTGAAAACAAGTTGTTCAGCCAAGGAGGATTTCCCAGCGGCAGAGCGCCCTCTCGCGGCTACCGTAGTAAGCTACCCCGAAACTGCCCCGACAGGTGCCCTAACTAGAGAATAGATATCTCACTGCTCTATCATATGTCGATAGACGGTTTTTGAGGTATTGTGGTTCCCTCTCATGTATCAAAGTTCGTCTTCCACTATTGCGGATATTCGATCGCTGGTATCTAGGCCGCTCTCGGGACTGAGTGTAAATAAAAACTTGAGATGACAGGAGATCTTTGAAACTCGGGGAGATTTCTCCCGAATTACATGCATACGTGTCAACAACGCGCATATACACCTGAGAAGTGCGAGGGAGAGAGACAATGCCCATCAGGTCGAAGACAACACGTTTCTCATTAATGGATTTATCACATCGCGATGAAACACGTAGGATCGTCTTCGTTTTAGAAGATATCCAAGATTGTGTTTTCAGAGTATTTGAATTGTAATTTGTTTCAAACGGCGTGTAACTTTAAACGTTGGTTCCACATATTTCAATAATGTGGTACTCTGTTATTCACACTAGATTTATTTTAATAGACACGCGTCTGTTTACGCTGCACATCTGACGGGCTGCAGTACTTTTCGAAACGAATGTGTGTTATTGATTAGAAAGAGCAGCCAAGCGTAGGTTGTTATACTAAACGGCCAGGAATGTTTCATCTATATGACCCTGGTATTTATATGATCACATCCGGACAGGAGGACCAATGGGTGAAAGCATGAGCATCAACTCACATCGTTTAGGTACCGTATCGCACAGGTTAGCGTGTGGCGACCACTTCGACTACTACTACCACCAAGCATCAACTCACGTCGTTTAGGTACCGTATCGCACAGGTTAGCGTGTGGCGACCACTTCAACTACTACTACACAGCACTGACAACCACCACAACCGTAACCACCAAGCATCAAGAATCATATATTCGCCTGAAATTAGTATCTTAGATTCTTATTTAATGGTGGCTTTAACAGATACATGTTTGATGACGTGACTGTTTGTGCGCGACGTACCTCAGTTATTATTCAAAGAAAATAGTGCGAAGTCGCTTTGTATTTTGCTCTAAAATTCGAACAATTTATTACATTGATCGTGATACTGTGATTCGGTGTATGCCTTCATATGGTAGAGTTTTTCACGATAATTGTTCTCAAGTGAAAGCATATTAACATTTGGTTGATATTTTATAGAAAATACATATCTTTTGTTCGTGATGCTTAATAAGTTTTTTCGTTTAGGGATTGATATGTTGTGATATATGATATGTGTTAAAACAGAATTGCTTAAACGCTATCAACTAGAACGACCAACAGATCGAAAGGAAATCTGCGGCTGTTACAGGCTGTTGGCATCCGTAGTATGTTGGTGGCACGGCAGTGTTTACAACACAACTGAGTCAATATGCGTCTATAGTGCAATATCGCCATGTGTGACTGGAATCGATGCTGGGAATCACTGTCGCACCTACCTGGGAGGAACCGGTTCTAGTCATCTACACACAATGCTTACCACATCCCGGGTAGTTCAGACTGTATAAGTCTACATTGACGTATTAGGAGTTTAAAATATATGGTTTCATTGTCGTTGGGTTAGGTTAGGTTTCCGAGGACGTGGGCAATTTTGTTTTATTTGGCATCCATTTTAGGTTTGGAATTAGAATTGGTATGTGATGAAACGTTACTTTTGACCAGGAGTATGTTCGTAGTTGGATTATTTATAGCTTTTTTGGTTGTTTTTTTTGAAGCATCAGCAATATTCCAGGTGACTGGCGAGGGCTGTAGAGTATCACCCCTGGTCCAGCTGTTGACGAACCAGTGATTGTTTGAAGCATCAGCAATATTCCAGGTGACTGGCGAGGGCTGTAGAGTATCACCCCTGGTCCAGCTGTTGACGAACCAGTGATTGTTTGAAGCATCAGCAATATTCCAGGTGACTGGCGAGGGCTGTAGAGTATCACCCCTGGTCCAGCTGTTGACGAACCAGTGATTGTTTGAAGCATCAGCAATATTCCAGGTGACTGGCGAGGGCGGTAAAGTATCACCCCTGGTCCAGCTGTTGACGAACCAGTGATTGTTTGAAGCATCAGCAATATTCCAGGTGTCTGGCGAGGGCGGTAAAGTATCACCCCTGGTCCAGATGTTGACGAACCAGTGATTGATGTTATGAGCAATCTTCCATGCACAATTCATGGTGCAGCATTACCCGATCCACATGAGTCTGACCTGATCTATTATTAAGTCACCTCCCAATCCAAACCATGTAACTTTTCACTGTCCAGGTTCGACCCATGCTAGGATAATCATGTGCACGTTAAACTCCTGAAGATCCGGGTTAGAATTCAATGTGCAAAGCCCATTTCTGGTGTCCCCCACCGTGATATTGCGGGAATATTGCTAAAAGCAGCGTAAAACCACACTCACTCAGTCACTCACCAGAATTAGTCTTCCGTAACCAGGCTTGTCGTAAGAGGCGACTAACCGGATCGGGTGGTCAGGCTCGCTGACTTGGTTGACACATGTCATCGTATCCCGATTGCGTAGATTGATGCTCATGCTGTTGATCACTGGATTGTCTGGTTCAGACTCGTTTGTTTACAGACAGCAACCATATAGCTGGAATATTGCTGAGTGCGGCGTTAAACAACAAACCAAACCAAAACCAAACCAAAAAGGACAATCATGTCATTTCGACTTATCTGATGTTGATATAAGGGGTTGTATGAGTCGGTCACGGGTCTGTCGAGATTACGCTTCAAAGGGAAAGTTTACCGCCAGTAATATACTTCTTCATAATCAATCAGCTATAAGTGACAAGAACTATATGACTACTTATGTCTGTCGTGTAACTCCATAAACTTTAGTCCTACCCACACCAGGGTATGTAGGCCACGAGGACTGGATGTTTGACGCGAGAGTCGACTACTACGGGGCTACGTTATGTGACGGAGATTCGAGTGACGTTGTTGCGTAAAACTCAGCTCCCCCACTCACTCCCCCAGTCACTCAGTCAGTCAGTCAGTGCCTCAGTCACTCACTCACTCACTCACTCACTCACTCACTCAGTCACTCACTCACTCAGTCACTCACTCCACTCACTCACTCACTCACTCAGTCACTCACTCAGTCACTCAGTCACTCATCACTCACTCAGTCACTCAGTCACTCACTCAGTCAGTCAGTCACTCACTCACTCAGTCATTCACTCAGTCACTCACTCAGTCACTCACTCACTCACTCACTCACTCACTCACTCGGTCGGTCGCTCGGTCACTCACTCACTCACTCACTCACTCACTCACTCACTCACTGGCCTTGATGTCCAGACAGCATGGGTAGGTGTTCTAGCTATCGAACACTGCTTTTTTTCGTTTTCCTTTTTCTCGAAGCGTATTTATCTGAGCTATTGAGGTAGCCTATTGTGACTAAGTGATGCTGACTTTTGCGAAGCAACCTCTCACTGAAATACTTGGTACAAGTCAGGTGAACAGAGCCTATCTCGCCCATCTTCTGTTCTCTAGTGTATTAAATTCATATTTCTTTTATGATAATACATGTACCATGGCTCATTTGCCACTACATAGGCTCGTTATACCTCCAATCGAATAACCACGGCTCTATGAATAACCGTTCAATCAAAGCACACTTATGAGCGATGATAGATATTTTCTTCCCGCTAAATTAGAGAGATGGACATGGTGACGTCACTGCGGAAATAAGGGTATATATACCCCCAGACTGCAGGTACAATACACTGGTGAGTCGAGAATGGTGAGGTAGCCTAGTGGTTTAAGCGTTCGCTCGTCACGCCGGAAGCCCAGGTTCGATTCCCCACGTGGGTACAATGTGGAAAACCCATATCTGGTTTGCCGCGCCGTGATATTGCTTGAATACTGCCAAAAAGCGGCGTAAAACTAAACTCACTCACTCGCACATTCTCACGAGAATGATCTCATGAAAAATATCATCGAAGACCGGAGCACACATATACAAAGATATTAATAGTTTCAATGTCATACACTGTTATCGACACAAGGTACTACAATTCTTATATTTCCCTAGAGCCACATGACGTCATAATCTTATGACCTCACGATTGCAATGCATCATATTTCGAAATAAAAGATACAGATTTGCAGAACGCAATAAACAGGGCCTAGGTTTTCGAAGCTATAGTTAAGGTTAAACTGAAGAAATCTCCAAGGAATTGTAAGACCTTGACGGAGTGAGTTTCAATGGCTGATCATGAGATCATACGATAGGTTCTAACATATGTCTGTGAATCTCATTTCTGGTGTCCCCCTTCGTGATATTGCTGAAATATTGCTAGAAGCGGCGTAAAACTAAATTCACTCACTCTCAAAGAAATAGCGCTGCATGAAATTGCAAGATGCGTTTCAGATCACCATTTATGTAATAAACTACAAGTACTATTTAAAACACATCTTTCATCATTGAAAGAAGTACTTTATGGTATGTTTACAACTCTTTACAATTAGTATTTTTACAGAACTCAACAATGGATATCAATCCCTGCTGTAGCAGATGTTTGTGGTCTTATTCAATATTGATAATGGGTTAAGTGTTGATGGATTTGATATCTGAAGCTGGCCTCCACAGGAGATATCGCATAGGTGAGATAATGGAGATATTTCAAGTAGGATATATAGTATGTGTGAGATAAAGAACATAGTTCAAGTAGGAGAAATTGCTTCACAAAACATTGCAGATCAGTGTCATGACATCGGCTCAACACAAACTTTACAATCAAACGCCATTTTAATCTGTCTTCCACTGACGCTGGGTAGCTGTAGTGTTTAGTGTTTACGAACAAAGTACTACTTATTACTACAGTAAAAGAGAATATGAGCTGTAATCTTTGTCCTGTGTATTGTATTGTCAATGTGTGCAGTAATTGAGAGAACCACATGATACAACAATATTCAGTTCTAAAGTTGTACGTAACCTTATCAGCTCTACAATCC